CTAAACATATTTGCATTACATCTAATTCTTCCAGCATTTCTGAAATGCGGTCTGGAGTTAGATCGTTTGTCGGCCAGCATTCTTCGCTGATTAATCGCTTTGCTAAATATGTTTTGATTTCACCTGTGTCATTGACGGTCAACATTTTGTTTATATTTAGTTCCTCATCATCTATACATACGAACATTATACGTTTTTGATTAGGGGAGCGATGTACACCCCAGAGTGTGGTCGGTAAAACCACTTCGAAAACGCTATCGAAAAGGTCGAAAGATTCGCTGGCTGTTGATGTTGGAGATTTTGTTCGGTTTGCGCTAAGATTACTACCTTCGATTTCTGGTACTTGTAAGATGCCAACTTTATTGCGAGCACTTGATCTGTTACCGCAGTCATCGGCGATCGTAAAATCATCGCAATGTAATTTTATGCCTTCGTAAGAGTTTTCTGGTTTTTCAATATCTGACTGCCTTATTTGCTGCGAACATAGGATTACATTATTTCCATTACATATTTGTTCAACTTCCAAAATTTCAACCATTTCGGGAATCCGAAGTGGTTTACCATTGTTGTGAGAGGTGATTTCATCTTTATGTATCTCTTCACATATTTGTTCAACTCTCAAAATTTCAACCGTTTCGGGAATGCGAAGTGGTTTGCCATTGTTGTGAGAGGTGATTTCATCTTTAACTATCTCTTCACATATTTGTTCAACTCTCAAAATTTCAACCGTTTCGGGAATGCGAGGTGGTTTACCATTGTTGTCAGATGCGATCTCGTCTTTATGTAAGGTACTTGCTTTACGGGCCGTTTTGCCACGTTTTAATTTTATTTCTCCATTCACTGGTAAAGACTATTAAAAAATTATTTATTTATCAAAGCTGGTACATATGCATCATGGTGCATATGTCCATACATACATATATGCGATGTATTTGCAATACTCACATTTCCTAAATTTGTGGTAGGCACAGCATTTGGTTTCAATCTTGCTCTCTCCCTTTCTATAAGATACTTTTTTCCGCCAATTGTGTGACTGTATGCTCCTAGAATGTCATTAGGTTCGAAATGATGTTGGCACACCCGGCATGAAGTTTTTATTGGTCTCTCAAGACTTGGTATTGCTTCAAGCCACTTTTGCAATAATTCTTCCTTTTTGGGAAAGTTAAACAAGAAACGTCTATTGTTAGCTCTTTTGATTCTTTCGCAACCAGGCACACAGCAATACGGCATTTTTAAAACGATTATGATTTACGGTTTATTACTTTTCCAAATTGAATAAAGTTTAATCGGTAGAGACAAAAGAATTCAGGTAAACAAAATTATATTCTTCTTCTTCATATCTCCACTAGTACACAATTAAAGCCTGTTAGGTCTGTTCTGGTGTAGGAAAAGCGTTCGTGCTAAACAGAGGCGTATTCAAGGCGAATTTATACAAGGTGGTGTTGATGGCAAATTTAGATTTTCGCCGTGGTACTTTCTAATGTCAAAATGATGTGTTTGTTGTAAGCAAGGCGAATTCATATTACAACAAACACATCATTTTGGCATTAAGTACCGCGGCGAAAATCTAAATTCGTCATCAACACCCCCTTGTTTAAATTCGCCTTGGGCGTATTCGTACAAGGCGATAGCAACAATACAAAAACCACAATGACATGTATCAAGGCGAATTTAATAACGACCCCTATTGCGAGTGTCGACTGGCAGTAGAATAGAANCATTTTGGCATTAAGTACCGCGGCGAAAATCTAAATTCGTCATCAACACCCCCTTGTTTAAATTCGCCTTGGGCGTATTCGTACAAGGCGATAGCAACAATACAAAAACCACAATGACATGTATCAAGGCGAATTTAATAACGACCCCTATTGCGAGTGTCGACTGGCAGTAGAATAGAAATTTGTCGATC